TTTATTTTTGATTATTTTTTTTAAATATATTTAAATTTACTGAAAATAAATATTTTATTTTAAAAACAAGTACTTGAATTATAAACCACTGGATTGATTCTACAAATTTCATACAGTCAATCTGACTTATGATTATATTTATTTATAGATCTTAACAAAACCACTAATTACATAAGTTATATTTAAATAATAGTTATATATTTAAAATATTATATCAGTAATTGTTACGTTATTCATATTTTATTGAATTATAAATTTTATGCACAGATATATATAAATATATATATATATATATTTATAAATCATATTTTAAAAAATTATTTTAAAAAACTAATAGAATATCAATACTAATAATTAGTATTCATGGATTTAAAAAATATATACATGATTTTTAATAACACTCACAATAAATAGATAATAGAAAATTAAATGAAAGTAATAATATATATATATATATATATATATATAGAGATATGTATATATATATATATATATATATATATATTAAGTTAACACAACGAAGATATAGTTTAAGCATTACAACAATACGGTTATTCTATACTACTAATAAGTATATATATATATATTATCATGGTTTAAATTAGTCTTAAAAATTCAATCAAATCTATATGGAAAAATAAAATACAATAAAATATGTATAAATTTTAATATCAATTTTTATTATTTTTTAAAATTCTTCAAAGGTTTATAAAATCCATTGTTTCTAGAAAGAAAAGAAAAGAAAGATGAAACAATAACCATTTACCTACAACAAGATCAAATACAGTTCTAGTTTTAAAAAAGTGAAATTGATTGAATTATAATGAAAAATAATTAAATACCTCTACAAATTTTGTTGAAGATTAAACGTATTTATCTAAGATTTTAACACATATAAATTTTGATATCTTAAATGCTACTGGCTAATGCAGTACTAATATAGTTTAATCTTCATTGAAACTATTTATCCAAATAACTTAGTAGAAACATATCTAGATACATGTATTTTTAGTTGTAGATCAATAAAAATAATAAAATAAATATAACAACATGTTAAAGCAGTTTTCAACCTTTAGTCAATACAAACAAATAATTGAAAAATGTTTCTAACAATATCATAATAAAAATAATGTTATTTCTATTAAAAGTTAAAATGTGTCAATTATATCTTATTCTGGTTTTGATTTATCTTTAATAAAAAAATGAGATAATAATAAAATAATCAAAATTAAAATACTATATGTTATATTTTTAGTCAACATCCACTTCTAGTAACAAAAAATATAAAAAAAATTGATTTTAAAGTATTTTGGGAAAATAAAATGCATCTAATTGTATGGCTATGACTTGAAATTGTTAAATCATTATACTTATAATTAAATAAGATAAATCTTATCTGGTCGATTATTATAAACAATAATTAAGAGCTAAATAATAGTACTTACAAATATATATTGCTTATGATTATTCTGATTTTTTGGATCAATTTGGTATTTTTATAATATTTCTCATCTTAAAATTTTAAATTTAATTTTCTTTAGTTTTTATTTTGAATACCAAAGAATCCATTCATATATATATATATATATATATATATATTGAAAAATCTGAATTAAAATTTTAAAATATTCTACTTGGTTTTGGTTTTTCTCGAAAGATAAAAGTCTTTATTTGACAAATGATCTTAAAATTGGAAACAAAATTATCACAATAAAATAGATACCAACATAATATATAATTTACTCATAACAATTTTATCTCTGTAGATAATATATCCATCCATGGAAAACACTTGAAGCAGTAAATATTCATTTGTCAAATGTAGTTTGAAGATACAATGTGACCTATTGTGATGTAGAAGCTCCTGATGACTCTGAAAAACATTGTATCAACATTTCTATACTGAATATATATATATATATATATATATATATACATATATATTTTTTTCAAAATGTGTTTATATGTTCTTCTATGAACAACAAAAAATTGGACATTCTGTTACATCTAGTCAATCATCATATTGAATTTAATCCAACGATACCATCATTTCATTATGTCTGCTACTGGATTAACTAATATAGTATATTGGTAATATAGGACTGATTCAATTGTCTTTAGAAAGCATGATTCATTAAACTGATTGGCTAATCTACCTAATCAACTTCAACCAAATACATATATACGTACATACATACATATATACATACATGTAGTTTTGAAGCAAAAGTTAAGAACCAAACAAATTATTATATCTCAGAAGAGTTCACAAGTTAGTACCACATTAATTATTGGATTTTACAAACTTTTGACTATCACCAAATATATATAAAAAAAAATGTGTGAAATATTTCACTTTCTAAACTTCTAAAGTTATCAAAACTTCATTATTAGTCAAGTGTGTGATTAATTGGGCCCTCAAAAAATGTGTAAGTTTTTAATGTAGTTTTGTTTTGGTAATTTTAGTGTATATGAGTCAAGATATTTTACTTATGAAAATAGTGTCTTTCTTTTCTATTATATTTTCATTTTTCCTTTGATATATTTTTACTATTTTAATTCAAAATTATTTTACAAAAAAATAAATTAAACCATATATATAAATCCATACATAAATAATGAGAAAAAAATTATTCAGCGTCAGGTTATGCATTATTAGTATAATAGATATATATCAATAAAAGTGTACTAAGATGTTGCAAACTAATCACCACAAAACAGCACAAATAACCAAAATGTGGTCATTAGTGACAAATTAGTACTCATGATGTAATCAAACAGTATATTCCAAAAATCACTTCTTAAAAATACATTGTGTCTTTCTAATGGATGTAATACCTTAACTTGATTGTAGATCTCATACTGCTTCATTTTTTCATTTAACTTAATCTTTTCTAATATTCATTTTAATTTGATTTTTAAACTTAAAAAAAAAAAAACAAAACAAAACAAAAACAAAAACAAAAACAAATTGTAGTCATAGACATCAAAGTAGGCACACATCATGTTCCATTAGAGATGTCTTTTCAATATCAACCAACTAGAATTAATTTCTGTTAAATAAGGTAAATATATTTGTGGCCTAACATGAAATGCCATTGTTTGGTAAGTTAAATCAATATTTAATTTCATATCTAAAATCATTGAGTTTATCTTTTAAAGTTTTAATATTGCAGTTAATTTTTAGCATGTAAATTCAAAGAAGAGCATATCCAGATGGTATTGGTTAGACAATATATATATACATGATTTCCATTGTGATTTAAAATAGAGAAGACAAAACTATGATTGATGTTGACTATTGGCAGTTACGTTGGTTAGAATAGGATTATCAGCATCAGATAAGAATAATTATAAATGATTTAAAGAACATATTGTATAGAATAAAAATAAAATAATGTTTACAAATAATTTTTGGCACCATTAATTTGAAAAAACTAATAAGATTCGTTTTAAAATTAATCTAAACAAGAAATGAAATTAATTTATTATTATTATAATCTAATACAAGAAAAGTTGGAGTGATTTTTGATCTCTGTTTGAAAAATTTTGAGATTCTTTCCATCAAAGTTTACAACTACTTCTATAAAAATGAGTTCAAGCTATACTATTAAATGAAAATACTAAAAAAATAAAACATCATGGTTTAAAAATGAGGAAGGAGTAAACAGATTGTTATTTTGAAGCACAGTTTCATGTAATCCTTCATATTCCATGACAAAATCATGATAGTTTAAAGTATTGTGATATTCATGGAGGTTGATATTATAATTCATGGTTATGTGAAGACTATACTTGAAACAAGTTTGAAGACTTATGAGTATGTTGTGTGTATACAAATACATGTACTATTTGTATGATCCTTGGAAAATTCTAGCTGTACTAAAGATTAGATTAAAAATAAAAAATGTTTGAATTGAAAAAAATCTCCTTTTCTTTCTTTCTTTTCTTGTATAATGTTATATTATGAAATTTATTTTCTTGCATAATGTTACAATTTCCAAGAAAATAATTTTTTTAATATAACATTATCAAGAAAATTTGAAAATCAAAGTCACATGTACATTCACTGAGAATAATTTTGTTCATTGGTTGTTGTAATTGTTTTTATTTATTTTTTTAAAATTATTATCTGCAGTTCATGATACACTATTTCATAATCTACAAATTATCTCACAAGACAGATGGGTGTAACAAAAAAGAAAGAAAGAATAAAAACAAACAAAAGGGGATATATAATGGCTGCACACACAGATGAATGAATGAACTAATGGGCGGATGGATGTACGAAATGGATGAAAGTACACTTATGTTCACACATTTTATTTTAATTAAAAATAAAAACACACACATACTTTAAATTGTTATAATAAAAGTATAAAGGGAGAAGAGCAGGTTGTGAGGCTCGTGGTGGTTGCGTGTGAGGTAGCTAGTTGAGCCCTCGAGTTTTGATTCCTAGAGTTGACAATCATCCTTTATTTATTATTTGTTTATCATTATTATTATTCTTATTATTTATTTTTTTCTTCCCTTTTATCAAGCACCAATTGTTCTCTCTTTTTTCTATTAGATTCCAAGGTATCCTCATCCAGGCTCTCATCACTCACCCATGCATACAAAACCAAAGGGGTTTCTTCACCAAAACCCTCAAAGAGGATGAACAACTTTCATCCATAAAACATCATCCAAGAGATGGAGGGGGGATCAGTTTGGGTCCCCCCCCCCACGAAGAAAGCGTTGAGCTGGGCATACATTACCAACGACCAAGCCTGGATGGATGGGTCAGTGGGGCGTGGAAACTTACCGTCCCCGTCCGTCCGTCCTTCCGATCGTCTGTCTGTCCGTCGGCAACGAGGGCAGTTCTAATGATTGAGCGCCCCGAAGTAATTTACAATGAAGGAGGGGGTCCCCGCCATCGGACAAGAGCATCGTCCATGGGTTTTCGTCCGGGGAGTGGCTGTCTCCGTCCACTCTTCCTTCCTTGCCCGGCCCTCCACAGCCCCAGCAGCCCATTCTCGGTCGGCAACATGGGCATCAGGGATGATGGCTTCGGAAGCGTGTCTCCGTCGGCCGGGCCATCTTTCCGTCGTCGCCTTGTTCGCAACCAGGCCGCCTCACAGCAACGCGTTTGAAGCTGTCTGCAATCCGATCACTCGGGATCCCCTGCCTCTCTTGTTCGTTCGCTCGCTCGCTTGCTGAAACCCAGAGAAGTGGTTAGTCAGACCAACAGACTGATACTCGGGACAAGAAAAGAGAGCGAGAGCGAAGTAGAAGTGTGCGTGTGTGTGAGAGAGAGAGAGAGAGCTTTGGGGGGAGCGAGTGAGAGTGATCGTGGAGGGCGAGGTCGATGTATGGAGTACTGATGAGTGGAGGAATCTGAAGAGGGTGGGCGAGTGTGAAGTTTGGGGAGCCCTGGAGGAACTCACAGAAACTGCTTTAGTCCATGGAGAGCTCTGCCTCACGAGCGCCACTTCTACGTTTGCGGATCCACAGGAACAATAGCCATGGCAATCTGGTCGTCAACCAGCACCACAGCGCGCTTGCAGATGTCATTGACAAGGCCGTGGTGGTAGGGGAGCGCGCTGCATTCCAGCGCTCCAACTGTGTGACGCTCGTGGAGCGACTGAGGCGCTTGCGGCCTTTGGTGGATGAGGTGCTGGACTCCAAGACGCCGGTGGTTGGGTTTCGGTTCGACAATGTTGAGGATGCGGTGGTTAAAGCCAAGGAGCTGCTGGAGCGGTGCGGGCCCGATGGCAGCCGGGTTTACATGGTGAGTTATCGGTTATTTGGGTTAGGGTTGTGGGTATGGCCATGCGATCAGAGGGTAGAATGCTGCATGGCTATTTTGGAGGAAAAAGAAGAGTGCATTGGTTCAGTGGGGGTTCGGGTTATGATCGGAAGGTGGTGCGCTACTGGTTCTAGGATCCTGGTTACCGACACCGACACTGACACATTTGACATTCAAGCGATCAGTAGAGCTCGATGGGGTTACACTGTGAAGTTGGGGAGTGTATAATTTGGTTTCTGGAGCAGTGATACACTCCGTGAATGTGAAAATGCATATTCTAGTAAACAGGCCCGAAGAATAATTGAAATCGTTTGAGCCACTAGCCTTTTCTTTACACGTGAGACAGGAGCGCTGCTTCCTCAGTGTGTGCTAAGATACTTGTGGCACTTTTAGTTCCGGTCGCAACGAATTGAGCTAGGCAGTAACTGCTAGTAGCTACCGAATAATAATCGGTAAAGAGGAGCTGTGTGGGTCGTGAGTGAAGGATCATAAAGGGGTCTTGGGAAAATCGTGCTTAGTGCTGCATAATTGCCACCCCGTATGAGAGAATGTGATCTGAGAAGTTTTCTTCCCTTATCGCCAGTGATTTGTGGTTGCTCCTGACGATTTCGTTTGAAAGTGCGGAGCCTTCCCTGTGCGCGGTAATCGAGTTTGTTTGTTTGTTTTTTTTCTTTTCTTTTTTCTTCTCTCTCTCTCTAAAAGTAGTAGGGTGCTTTTGTAGGCTTTTTTCAACGCTCGCTGCTTTGTGTTTCATCGATTTAGAATGCTGTATGATAACTGTGAGGATCCTAGCGTAAGAACCTAGAGTTGAAGATATTTTTAATGCCTTTTTCAATCTAAAACATTAGAGTTACCGTGGTAGTGGAAGTACCTGTAATGCTTTTGACACTTTCTTAGGGTCGCATGTCTTGACCCGCATGCCAGTTGTATTGATTTCAGGCGAGTCTGTGCAGGGTTGGGAAGATCTTGTAATTGCCACATTTTTTTCTTCGATGGTACAATTATCTGCAGTAGAAGAGTTGGCTCGTATTTCTTAAGGTTAGACTGTGGGTGTTGTCCACATTATGATATAGGAGTATGTAATGATTTAGGGTGCTTATTGACGACGTTGGAATATGCGATTTCGGAACAGTACTTCTCTATATTTGATTATACTGTACCAATATTTGGGTAGTTATATGACCTGATCAGCTTCGTGTAGCGGTATGTGTAGCATCTTTAGCGGGATGCTGTGTCGGTTTGAAGTGTTGGAACCCCAATGCCTGCACACCACGGGTGGTTCGCTTTGAGCTCATGGAGCATGCACACTGAATGTGCAGAATCTCCGCACTCAAAGATTGCTGAGCAGGTTCGAGGACGTGACCTTGGAGATCGATCGGTCGCTGAACAGCTTGCCTATGGTGTTCCTGCGAGTTTCAGATCACATTCGTTCACAGGTATAACCCCCTGCTGGCTGCAATTTCACTTTAGTAGATGTTCCCTTGGATGGGGATCATGTCTCTCTTTAAGCAGACACTAAGCACGACCAACGTATACAACTTGGGAATTTTCAAACTCACGAGACAGCGTCATGATGTAGGTGGATCTCGTGACTCGTGAGTTAAGAAGATCGAGGTATTTCGCAGAACCTGCGGAGGAGCGTGTCGGGGAGAATATAGAAACCCTTCTGAGAGAGCAGAGGGAAGGATCGAGACCCAGAAGGGAAACATTGGAGAGGGTTGCGGAGAAGCTCCATCTGCGATCGAAGGAGAACATCGCTCAAGAGTTACAGGTGCGGGAAGAGAAAGACTCAGAGATACTGGAAGCGCCACTTGTGTTTAGGGTTGACGTTTGAATACTGCTTTCAAGTGCGCGACTTAACGCTGATGTGGATGCAGGCTTTGACTAAAGAGAGAGAGGAAGCAGGGGCGCAGGAGGACAAATCAGAGGAGGAACTGATCAGACGATTACTGCAGTTGGTGAAGCAAATGGAGGGTTTGTTGGAGGGGGCAGCGACAGAAGGGCTGGAAATTCCCGCCGATTTCCGATGCCCTCTCTCTGGGGAATTGATGTCAGATCCAGTGATCTTGGCGTCCGGTCAGACGTACGAAAGGATATACATCCAGCATTGGCTGAACGAAGGGCATTCGCGGTGCCCAAAAACTCACCAGAAGCTGTCTCGCAGGAATCTAATTCCGAATTACACGGTGAAAGCTCTGATAGCCAACTGGTGCGAGACGCACGGTGTGCCCGTTCCGAGACCTGTGCAGCTGAATGTTCACTTAAACAGCCTGCAGCCGCCATCTCCCGGTGCAGCGGGGAGGTCAGATTCAGATTCGGAGTTGTCCAGTCCGGCGGCCTTGACGCTTAGGTCTGCCAAAGGGTTTACTTTGGGATCGTCACTGCGCGGGTCAGGTAGGGTGAGGTCTGCTGCGTCGCGGCTGAACAATGCTTGTGGGTCCGGGGAGTTGGGAGACAGGGTGAGGAGCGTGAGTCTTGGAGGGGACGAGGGTGAGCCTTCCCAGAGCGGTCGGTGCCCTTCGACTGCAGATTCCGGTGAATTGGCAGGGCAAAACTCACTAGGTCGATCCCCAAGCGGCCTTTTGATTGATCAACATCCTTCGCGTTCGCATTCTCGGACGGGATCGAATTGTAGTGTTGCTTCAAGGGCGGAGGATGAGTCTGTAGCGCCCAGCTCACTGTTTCCTGTTTCTCCAGTAGACCCCTTCAAAGTGGCCCAGGAGAGGTACCCGGACACTCCGGACATTGCCGCGCACGTGGATGGACATACGATGTCGAGCAACGGAAGCGGTTCGTTCAGCCAGGGTGGCAGTGGTGTGTTTATCGAGGAGCCGGAGTCTCCGGCCAGGCTTCCAGAGAGACCATCGTTTGGGCGACGTGGGGTGGACAGGGATAGCTGTTTGCCTCGGATTATTTCTGACAACACTTCCGGAGGCACTGCTCAATCAGACGTGGAAAGGTGGGTGCTGGACCTGCAATCGCCTGACACTGAAACGCAGCGACAGGCGGCTTGCGAGTTGCGGATGCTGGCGAAACACAACATGGAGAATCGCGTGACTATAGCCAATGCGGGAGCAATCGAACCGCTGGTTGCGTTGTTGAGCTCCGTAGACGCGAAGACTCAGGAGAATGCAGTGACGGCATTGTTGAATCTTTCGATCAACGACAATAACAAGTCCGAAATAGCTCGAGCCGGAGCGATAGGACCTCTTGTAAATGTGCTGCGGGTGGGAAATGCAGAGGCGATGGAGAACGCGGCTGCGACATTGTTCAGTTTGTCGGTGATGGATGATAACAACGTGACGATAGGTGCGTCTGGTGCCGTTCCTCCGTTGGTTCATCTTCTGATCAATGGTAGTCCTCGGGGTAAGAAGGATGCTGCTACGGCCCTTTTTAATCTATCTATTCACCATGAAAACAAACGACGGATCGTCGAAGCTGGGGCCATAAGACCGTTGGTGGAACTGATGGCGGACCCGGCAGCAGGAATGGTAGATAAAGCAGTAGCGGTATTGGCGAATTTGGCGACGTTTTCGGAAGGGAGGCAGGCAATCGGCGAACATCAGGGTATTCCTGCACTGGTGGAGGTGGTGGAAGCCGGATCGCAAAAGGGAAAGGAAAACGCGGCTGCTGCTTTGCTTCAGCTGTGTACGAATAGCCACAGGCACCGCGCGTTGGTCTTGCAAGAAGGAGCAATTCCTCCACTGGTGGCTTTGTCACAATCGGGCACTCCTCGTGCCAAGGAGAAGGTTGAGGACTTGCCCTCGCAGATGTTAACTTTTGCTTTAGGGCGTTGTTGTTGACATTCTGGTACTCCCTCATGCAATGAATGCAAGGCGAGATAGGTGTCTTGTCTTGTGGCGGCACCAGCTGACAAGCCCTTATGTTAAATGTTATTGTTGTGCAGGCCTCGGCTCTACTGCGTCACTTTCGGGAGCAACGACACGGTGGGATGGGTGGGCGGTCCAACCCGGATAGACACATGGCAGGATACTATTGATTTCCTCCCTGAAGAGGCGGCTTCGAAGTAGTTGATCGATGCGCAGAATAGGCAGAGATGAGGAGTCATTCTCTGCACATCTCTTTATCTACGATGACGTTGTGCCGCGGATGTGGCTTCTTCCCATCGGACTGCCGGGAATGGGGACAGGGCGGATGGAGAGGGGACAAATGCGGGATTTGTGTGTTCCGGCTTCGCACGAGCAGTTCAAACATTGTGCGTGCGTTTGATACGAAGCCTGTTACACTCGCTTCAGCAGTTGTGTAGAGTGTAGGTTCATTTGTGGCTAAGGTAGGAGGTTCCGATGCGCGGTAAGTTCTCCGGGTATACCAGCTATGGGCAACTCTCTGGGGCATTGTAGCTGTTGCATTTCGGATATTGGGAACATTGCATTTTTCAATTAGCCGATTTACGTAAAAGAATTTTCGGAGTCCGTGGGTGGAGACTATTGTAATTTTTTCCGTCAAAAGTTTTAGTCGTGAGGTGGTCTTGGAGGGAAGGACCGGAGTGGAGTAGTGGAAGTCTATCTTGTAATGAGAACATTTAATTTGGATGACCCACATTTGGGGGCTGCAGGTTTAGCCATGACACGAAGATTGCTGTATATTGGATATTTATTTTTTAATTCCTCGATTCATGAGACGTTTTCTTAGTTCCATAGAGGCATATCGTTCTGAGATCGTGTTTTAGGAGCTATGAGTAACCTGCGTAGTTTGAGCACCTCGTTTTGGTGTTCGTGAAGGGTGCTAACAGGAAGTGTGTCGGGGTCCTCGAATTTATTGAATGCAATTTGTGTGCACAGTAAAATTTATGCGCGGAAGGTGTGTCGCAATGTGTGTTCATCTAACCCTTCCAAAACCTTCTCATTGTCGTTCTTGCGACATTGTGCATACAACAAATTTGAAAGGATACGAGTAGCTGGCTTTTGGCAGTTTCAATAAGCAATGACCACATGCAGGAAGTTTGCAACAAGTGAGTGTCGGGGCATGTTACGTAATTTTCCAGGGTGAAGAACTTTATTTCTGTGTTTAGTCTGCTATTTGGATGGCAGATGTTTAGAAAGGAAACTATATCACAACATTCTGCTTGTGCGTATCACATTTCGAGAATCTCAAGCCAACCTTTCGGCTATGGGAGAGGGCCTGTATGTTGAAAAGTTTGGTACTTTTGTGGTTTCTTGGCGTCGCTTCTATTGTAAATATCTGAGATCTCGTGCTGTGAGTACAGCCTTCAGTACCTGAATAACTTCACAATTCTCATCACAAGAGCTTCTCCGATGCTTTCTCCAAGATAAAACTGCCTCGGAAGTCCAGATGGCATATTGCTGGGTAATGCCTGTGCCCGGAAATTGAAGACTTCTGCTCTTAGAAGGCGGTTGCTGCAGTAGGCCCTAAGGAAGCCATTGGCCAGATTTTAAAAGCAGTACACCATGGGCATGGAGGATACTGTCTGACCACGACATGCATTAGTGGTCTGTTAAGTGTCCGCAACTTCTCAAAATTGGATCGGACTTTTGGGGAGAAAGTCTTTTGCCAGTGTCACATCAGTTTTTGACCTCGGAAGCGACTCATCTACTACACTCCCAACCTACTGAAGCACCGGCGTTTCGCAATTGGGCTAGGAAGAAAAAGATAGCACTATGGTCGCGTCAGGGAGCTTTGAAGTTTGTCTTGAAATTTTGGAGTATTCTATAGTTTTGTGAAATATACATGTATACTGCAGTGACTTGTGGAAAGCGACGAAACAACCCCTTGGCTTATCCGAATTCGAAAACCAAGAGAGGCAGTAGCAGGGAAGGCACATCTATCAACCAAGGCAGTGGAAAAGTGGGTGAAGTACCAGTCTATCATTCGGGAGACTCTGCATTGTCAGAGCCTCGAAATCCTTTAAATAGCGAAGGATCGACTGTGGTATGGCCAAGTACCGGGGGAGGTGCTTTCGTGTCTGATCCGAGAGGCTCGTTTCCATTTGGGGCCACAAAGTGTGTGAGGCACACAGAGTAACAGTGCCTCCACAGTATTCATTCATTGAGCGTCAAACCATTCTCGTCCCTGTGACCCTCTTCACTGATGTCTCGCACGAGGATCGCAAAAATGAACTCTCACTATGCGGCGAATTTCAGAGGTGGCTCGAGGGGCATAACCCTGTTGCGAAGCTGTAGTAGGGAATGTTTAGGAGGTTCTGGAGGTGTTTAAGGGGAAATTCGTTTCTATAATGCAATCTTCGTTGGTGTAGTGCGGTGTTTTCTGTGGCGTAGTTTTGGAGGATAGGCGTTTTGAAGGAAGGTAGGAATCCCGGGAGCTATGGCCGGGTTGCCGAAAGGGGGAAATGGAACTGAATCACCCGATCGCACTTCGCAGTTCCCGTTGCAGCGATGGCAGGCTTCCAGTGCACCCAGCGGTCAGTCCTCGGCGTTGCATCACAGTGTCCAAGTTCTGCCTCAGAGCATACCGCCCTCCGTCGCTGCGCAATGCTCGCCCTCCTCCCATATTGATTCAGTTGCATTGCTTTCCGCATTGGCCCTGGAGCAGCATGTCGACGCTGCCACGCTCAACCAGGTGCAATTTGGTGCTGTGCTCTTTGTTCCTTGCGGGGAAGTGTTTTTGGAGGCGCCATAGCCGATCCTTGGTTAGATCATGGGTGGAACTAAGAGGGATGTAGAACCTACTTCCTTTAATTTGAGGACCAAACTCCCTGTGGACCATAATGTCGAGAGGTCTGTCTTCTACTTGTATGACCACGCGGAATCTACAACCGAGCGGAGCAGAGAAATCATGCACTCTGAATGTTTACTTTTTAGCAGTTATGTTGAACCCTAGCTGATTAAAATGTATTACTTGTCGATCTCGTCTTTATCCAATTCCATTGCTACTTTTAATTCTTCCGGTTATGCAAAAGTTTAACCTGCCCTGCGTTTAGGTTAATGTCTTTGGTTCAGAATCGCTTGTATTTGTGTCTTACGTTTGTCATCTGTTTTCTTTCAACAAATCAACGAAGTGGACGAATCCTTGTGTCCATCTTAGTAATCGCTAGTGAAGTCAGAATATGAATGCATTAGAAATGTTTCTGTCAAACCCCTTTTCCCGTTGAAATGTAAAGCCTGGCCACATTTCTTTGTACAGTGAATAATCTTTAGGTCATCTCCATAATGCGCATATCTCGCCGTTTTGAAACTTTTATAAGTTTATCTTTACCTATATACCTGCTATCAATGGCTACCGACCGAGGCATCAATCTGTGATTTCGTGTGCAGTTTTCTTGTATATACGCTTGTAGGGACGATGATGCAAAGCTGGAGTTGGTTATTCCAGTATTGATATCTAACAGGAATAAATTCGTAAAACAAAAAGAAACTATATGTGTGTGTGTGTGTGTATTCGTGTTAATCTATGTTGCTTCCTCCAATCCCAGATTTTGATTATTCCCATTTTCAGGATTTAGTGGCTGTTCAGGAGAAGACAAGAGTTGATCTGGAGCGTATAAAAGTTGGAGGTGGAGACAGGGATAGTTCTGCTTCTTCAGCATCTGTAACTGAACAGAATGAACAACACGATGACTTAAGCACTCTGAGTATGCGAGATGATATAAGCGCTCTGAGTATTCGAGATGATATAAGTGCTCTGAGTGTACAAGATGATCATAGTAGTAGGCGCTCAAATGTTTCATCTAGACAAAATCCGTCCATGTCTGTTGGGCAGGATTTGTCTGCGGTCAGAGTTGAGCTGGTAAGAAGTTCAAACTAGTTTTCTCATGTTTCATTTTTAGTGACACTTAATGCATTTGCTATGGTTGCACTTACAAGTACTTCAGTTATGTCAGTGATACTTTCAAATTCGAAATCTATGTCTCATACAGTTTTACAAATGTCTCTGAACAGGCGCGCTCTGAAAGGCTGTCTCCAACATTGGAGTACATCTCGGCATTGGCTCATCTGACCACATTTGGCATCTTAGGGGTGTGAGACTAATCTCATTGAGCTACCACTGTTGTCTTCGCGAATTGTTCTCGTGTTTCATCTATCTCATAGTGTGATGTAACCAGAGGTAGTCCCAGAGCAATGTGCTAAATATGTTTGCAGCATATGTTGATAGTTCAGGGTTTATTATTGTTGAAGCGTTCATATCTGCAGAATTTCATGGTGGCTTTCCTGAATCTGATAAATTATGATTATCATTGAAGTATGGTATTATCTAGTGTAAAGACCAGCGTAAAATGACTATCGGGATTCACAAGATCTTTATATAGTATTTTTTTTTGTGCAGGTCTGCATCAGGTATGGTTTGAGAATACTGTTCTCAGATTATCTACATATCACATCAGACTCCACTCCATTGTTGTTTGACATGCCATCTAACATGGTGAGAAATTCATTTATGCATGGCTTCATACTTAATAAGAGAACTAATTTTCTGCTTACATATTGCAGCTTGTATTTGACTACAGAGATTGAGCATTTCTTGATTTACGCAATACTCATGGTGGCTGCAAATGGATATGAGGTATTATTTTCTTAGACTGGTGTGTAGATCCTTGTTTTAAAACGGTATTGTGTGGCCGACTTGTGCTTGGCAGGTTGGATGCTTCTTCATGGGTTGGGTTGGAGTTGTTTTGAAAAGGGACATAGCTGCATTTTCAGAACTACTAGCAATTGGGTTATCGACTGGACTCATGGGCAGTATTACAACCTATGCTTCATGGAACCAAGCTATGATTGTCCTTATTACAAACGGATTCTGGTTGCGCTCCATTGTGAGTCTAATTGTAGGTAAGAGTTGTACTTGTCCACCTAAGCAGATTTTCTGGTCATTCAAAGGTGGTTTTAGAATTCATTCTAGGGTTTTGATCTTTGCAATGCCGATTCTTGCTTTTGCGTGCTTTTCTGGAGAAGTCAAGTTGCTGTCAGAGATTAACATGTAGCTTTTTGCAGGTATGGAGCTGTTTCAGATGTCGCTTATGTTAGGCATAGATTCTGCTAAACTACTACGGTCAGTTCTCACATACATAAGGAGAGAAAGAATTCGTAGAGGCTGGCAAAAGCAATGGGATTCGTCTCCTGATAACCTTCGTCGTCGGAAGATTGGAATGCTGATCTTCTTGGTCACTAGTACTATCCTATGGGCGGGTTCCCTGGGTCTCACAGTTACTGACGTAAATTCTGCTGTACGAAGGCGTCTGTGGTTATCTTGTTTAGTGGGTCCTCCTGGTGTTTGGGCACGCTGGTGCTTAGCCAGACTAAACGGACAGGGGATCGGAAGGAACCAGCGTCTGAAGTGGCTACCGATTGGAACTTTTTTGACCAATCTTGTAGCATCAGTCTTGCAGGCTGTGCTTTCCGTGGTGATTCTTTCGGTATGCTTCGCCTGCAAATCAACAATTTCTTTCCCATATATTTGGATTTTGTTTATTTTTCCTGCATGTGATTGTTCGGTTAGGATTAGGGGATGAATTGCAATGTTTCGGAGACGTGTGAATCTCTTTGCAGCAGGATGATTTAGATGTTGGCAGTTGGTGACTTGTAAATCAATTGAAAATCTGACCAGTTCTGTGTAATGCAGAATCCAGAGGATGCTTCTTTGCTCTGTAGGGGCCTTCAGATTGGGCTTCTTGGGTGCATGAGCACTGTCTCTACTTTTGTTACTGAGATCTTCTCTCTCCGCCAAAGTCCCAAGCGGTGGCGAGCATATGCATACCTTTGCCTGTCACTTATCTCCACGTACTGTATGGGTGTAATAGCATACACTGTCCCGGTCTTGACACATCCCTTCGCACCGTGACTTAGGCCTCCATCCTGCCTTTCACCGAGACACCTTCTTAAAATGAATTAGCACATCCAGCCTCTTTGTGGCATCCATCAGGACTGACTCCCATATCCATCTGTCATGATTTGAATTGCAAAATGCTAGGACTGTTCTAGTTATCACGCTCAGTCCACAATAGGAAAGATATGGTGTGGCCATACTGGTGTGATTGGTGAATACGAGGAGTACACGTCTCTAGATGCTGGTTTTGAATTGGCTTGCACCAAATGCAGTGCAAACCTCATTTTCGTAGTTGTAGCATCTGTGCCTAAGCTCGGGCCCTTGTACACTATTTGTAATATTATGTTTAACGACAAGAACGAAAGGAATTCCTTTCATGTTGGAGATGACACATGAGAGCACGAAAGTCCAACAATATGTTCTGCATTAGAAATGAAAGGTGACAATGCATGTTGTAATAATCTGAATACGAGAATATTAATCTTAACTATGCCACTTCACCAGGTTTTTCGTGCTACACCAGATGTGCACCCTGATATCATCCTTATTTACTGTATGTGTATTATTGTTTATTGTTTATTGTTTTTCCCTCTTGTAAACGAAGTCCCATGATATAATATCTACATTGTACTCTGGCAACTGCATCACTTTTGCATGATTAACTTTATGCATTATATCAATCTATCACCGAAACAGAGTGAAACATGATTATTAATTCGTCAAGAATCAAATTACAGGATTTTCACTGCAATAAAATCAATGCAAAATTGAGTATCATGCAAATTGTCTTAATACACGAATAACAATAATCTGTATTTGAGGTGAACTTGAAGTTACAGGCCAGGAAATTCAATTTTTCATTCTGAGTACTTCAACAACATGATAATCTATAGCTCAAAAAACTTACATAAAGACCACAAATGAGTACTAATAAGCATAATTTTTATGTTACTTATAAATCAGTAAGAATTCTTATAAATATTAAATAATAAAAGATGATGATATAAATACATGGTTTTATTAAAAGAGAATAATTATTATAACTTTTTTTTATATGAATAATAATATTATACATAATCAAATAATTATGTTTTTTTTGCTATATATTTATATGTATATATATTTTAAAGCTAGTATGTTTTGGACTAACTTTTGAGTACCTTTTGTCTAATTTTTGAGTATCTTTTGGTCTAACTTTCAAGTATCTTTTAGTCTAACTTTTAAGTACCTTTTATCTTTATTTACCTTCTCTACATATTATTTTTTATTATATATAATAAAATTTTAATCAAATACTAAAAGAAATCTATTTAGCAAGCTAAATGATTATATAATTGTTGCAATAACCTTAGATCATTGATATTTTTTGGTAATAGAGATATTTTTGTGATGATAATGTAATACATAGAAGTTACCAAAAAGTACGACAATCTTTAAAAGTTGTTCAATATTTTACTAAGCCAATAATATTTTTTTATCCCAATAGATAAAATTAGGCACATAAGCACTCCAAATGGGATTGAAAAAGGGGAAATGGGACAAGGTGGGGGTATCAATATAGGGAGGTAGAGATGGGGACAGTTCAAGATGAAGTAGAACTAATTTTAAACGGTTTAAATTTGTGATTCTAAACAATGTTAACAACCTTTAACAAATTTTTTATATAGATAGATAATACTTTTTGATTACTATGAAGACAATACATATTTTATAATGTCCAACATTAGTTTTTAATGTAAGAATATAATCATTGTATAAAAAATTAATCAATGTTAGTTATTTAATAATTACCTTCAAGTATAACTTAAGTAGACTTTATAAACATAAAATTTTCTTTTATTTAAAATTTCTGAGGAGCCAGTATTTTCTAAAATTAGGAATTTTGAATACTTTTCATTTTAAAACTTTATCCCAAAATAACTTGTTTCAAGGATCATTTACTACAATTACAATGCTTTAAGCTTTCACATTAGAAATATTATATAAAATCTTCAAAAAATAAATTTTATGTTAAAATTTTAAATATATATATATATATATATATATATAATTTACTAATCTTTAATTATGAAGCTTTATTGTAGTAAGAGCCAACTAATATTAACAAAATAAAATAAAATGAGACTATTAATTAATAAAAACTTTAGTATAGAGTTTTTAATTACTTTTTTGTATTTTTCATATGTAATAGATATATGTGTTATCAATGATTCGTGCTTGGTTGAAATTGATGCCTTCAATAAAATTATGACGTCTTTTTGTAAAATATTAATGAATATTTTTATTATTGTATATAGTAATCAATATTATAGCCAATAATTTTAGATAAAATGTATTATTTTTTGAAGTACATATGATTTTATTAAAAATATTTTATTTAAGTTTTATTTTACTTATTCAATTACCATTATTAATTGATATTAGACAAAGAAAAACATAGTAATAACACATTATTAAAAAAAATAGTGATGTAATTTTTAAAGAACATAAATAAAACAGCTAATTTTTGTGAATTTTTTACTATTGCAAACAGCACGTGAAAAAATTGGTTTCTTTTTTCAGATATTTGCTAAAATTCAAAATAAGATGCTAAGAAATTTGATGGTTCAAAATATAAGATAACTTAAAATATTCAAAATTCTTTCAATTGATGGATTTATTTTTTTAATTTTAAGCAATTAAAATATATTATTTTAATAATTTAGTTTTATCTTAAATTTAATAAGAAGCATTAGTTATAGATAATACCACTAAAGCATTCTAATTAAGATTATAAACTAGATATACTTATAATTTTAATTTTTGAAGTTATACTAGTTCATAAGTAACAATTGTTATATTCATTTAAATGTCATTGAGTTCTTTGAACAAACTAACGTTACTTTTTTAATGACTAAATTAATTATTATGAAAACATGTGTAAAAAAACAATTATAGTGATAGTAGCCAATAATCAGTAAGCTTAATACAATGAATTTTTATTTGAAAAGTATATATTACTTTTAAATGTTTTTTTTATCTCCTCAAAAGTTTCAATATTTTATGTTATTTAAATAGTCTTTTATCATATATTTTTTGTATAAAAGTTATTAAGATATCTAAAAATGATTAATATTAGATAACAATATTACATTTTTATATTGTAGAGATTATAAAAATTAATGCAATTAATTAATATATGTTCTTTATAAAAATAAAAATAAAATAATATCTAAAATTAGATTTAATATTTCTTTTTGAAGATATTTTATTTTATACTTTAATTATTTTTGAATTTTACTTTTAAAAAAATTAATAATAAAATAATATATATATTTTCCAAAGAGTGATTTTAAAAGCACAAAATTAATATTTATTTGGGAACCAATTGGTGGATACCCCTTTCTACTACATCAAACCCACTCCCCCTTAACATACACATGTCTATAAAAAAATAACTAATTTTGATTTTAAATGATATTTTTATTATTATAATAATATTATTATTTTTGTTTAACATTGATGAATACCAAAAATACACACACACACACACACACTCAGACAGACAGATATATATATATATATATATATATATATATATTTGTAATACAAAAAATAATTTGAAAAAGGTTTGTAAGAACAAAAGATTGAAATAATACACAGCCATATATTACACATGGATAAGAACACATTTAATTTTGGTATTAAACTAACAAGTATAATAAAAATTATGATTTCGAATCATAATTTAAAACCAAAACTACTTGCTTTTTGCGGGGATATGTATTGTGGGTGTTGTTATCAGTGCTACTTGCTACTGCCGAGGGGAGAGGGTGACTTTCAGTCCCTTCTTTATTGGCATGACTAGAGTGGTGGTGTAGGCTATTTCTTGTCCAGGTACCAAATGGAACTTGAAGAAGTGCGTGATGAGTGCCGCTGTTACCTTCAACTGCAAGTATGCAGAATCTTTGCCTAGGCAAATACGAGGTCCCGCCTACCACACACACGATCCCACTGATGAGAAATTCATGTGACTCTCGCTCCGCATGTCCATGTTCAACTAACCAGCTTTCGCAACTGACAACCCACAAACAACCTGAGGCAAATATAACTGATTCTGGTTAAAAACATACCTGGAAGGCGCTATGAATGTACGGGGAAACGCTTTGATAGACACCGTCCTTAAGCCATCTCTCAGGTTTGAACTCCAGAGCATCAGGACCCCATAAGAAAGGCATCCGTCCCATGGAATAAGGTACATATTGCACGAAATCTCCTTTCTTCACTTTTATTCCATTGGGGAGCACATCCTCCTCCAACACACATTTTCCATCCTGTACACAAGTTGGAAAAAATCATGTCTAAACTTTGGGTTTTGAACAACATGAATGTGTTTGCGGGAGAATCATGAGCTTGGTTATGTAGAGGATCAGATTTGCGTACCCTTGGCACTGCTGGATGTAACCGAAGACTCTCAGATAGGGCAGCATGGAGGTAGTGCATTTGGCCCAAGGCTTCGTGCGTCAAGTGTTCCACCGCACTCTCGACGACTGTGTGTTTACCAATCACTGCGACCCCTTCCTCGTAGATCTTATCAGCTATCTCCGGGTGACAGCACATCTCATACGTGAACCACGAAAGAGTAACCGCAGTCGTGTCCCTCCCGGCAAGCATGAAACTAATAATAACGTCTCGTAATTCTTTGTCGTCGTAGCTGTTCTCGTCTTGAGTGAGATTCGCCATGAACTTGGACAGTAAGTCATCCCTGTGCTGTGCATCCAATTCAAATGCAATGTATGAATGGGAGTATAGACTTCACAAGTTACACAATATTTCGTAGATCCTCATTGCGACATGTTCAAATTTTGGTAACGGAGCCGGGAGAGGCACCGGTATGACATGTAACTTACATATTCTTCGCCTGCGTCGTGAGCAGCAGCAATCTCCTTACGCCGTTTGGCGATCACGTCCATTGCGAACGAATGCACGCTGTTAGTAGCAATACGGAAGTGGTGCTCCTCTCCTATGTCTAGGGCTCTGAGTATCTTAAACATAGGGCGCACAACGCGCTTACTGATGTGAGCTTGAGCATTGTCGAAGTCTTTTGCGAACTGTACGTCGGGTAGATCGGGCGAAAGGCTGCCAATTTCAACTCCGAAAGCAACTTTGCAAATGCTGTCCAACGTCATTCGCAAGAACAAATCCTGTGCAAAGGCAGAACGGACCCAAAAATTCGAATTAACAAGCATATCTAATATCTAGAAAAAGGTCACAGCAGGAATCAAAATTAAGATGACCCCAATAAGGTGTTGCACTTCATATTCGAGGAATTTGAGCTATGAACCTGAAATGCGTAGTGCTTTCCATGTGTTCTATGCTAGAAATTACTGCTGTGCAGAATGTCCAACTCTTATATCTGACACTGTGCAATTTAATAACGCACCTGGATTTCGACTGGCTGGTCGGCAGCCATGGCGACTTTTAGGCAGTTGGCCAGCTTAACGCCCTCTCCTCGGAACACTGAGGCACTATGACCTCGAAGCTTGCGTGTCGAGAATTCTGTGGATGCAATCTTGCGGTGACGTCGCCAATCTTCTCCATCCGCCAAAAATATACCTCTCCCAAGGAAATCCCCGAGTCGATCTCTTAATTGGTCGCCCTGCATGTTATCGACGCAGGGACCACATTAATTCACTGCGCTCCGCGATCCTAGTCTAGTTTTACGGCTTACTTAAGCTAATCATAGTACCTAGTCTCTATTGAACCTCCTCATCCTTATCAAACTCACATTTCAGTTTCAACCCGTCCCTGATCCTCAAGTTGGTGTCTGCTCGGTAAGGGAAGTGAGGATTCACACCACTGGACGCACTCGGACACTGAATTCTCAACAAGGGCGCGAGGATATGGATTAAGTTACCTTCTAATTCATCCAAATTCCCCCTCTGCCATCACTCCAAGGGGCGCTTACCTTACCATACTTGTAGACGTTGGTGAGGATGTGCTCCACAATGACGGGATCAACAGTCGCCACAAACTTCGTGCAACTCGGGAAGCCTGGCATTCCGAAGCTGAAGGTCTTCACGTCGGCACTAAAATAGTTAAGGTACCAGTCATTCATAGTGTCGAACTGCGGTGCAATCTCCAGCATGCTTCCCAGCCAAGGCCATATCATGGGTCCCGGTGGTCGACGACGAAGACTGAGAAGCCATAGCCACATCGACGCAGTGACAACAACCAGCGAAACGGCAGCCATGATCCATACTTCCTGTTGTCCAACTCCAGCTGGAAGAACGTTCCCACTCTTGAAAGCACCGAACAGTGTCGCTCCTTCATCACCCATCTTTGCTAAAACCTCAGCAGAAGAATGCAGGCAGCGACGCAGCAAATAGAAACCCACACAAACCGGGCTCCACTCCCGCGACCACTGCTGTTATAGATAGTTCTGCCTTAGCCCTCCTCCTGCCTGCTTCCCCGAACCTCCACCTCTCTGCGTGCTTCGGTCAGTGACAACTCCTTGTCATTGCTATGAAGCTACTGATTGCGGTCCCCTTTACAGACTGTTACCTGCGTTAAACACACGTCTCTGTTTGTATGTGGCCATGTGTATGTGTTTACATATGTAGACTGCAGAGCTATAGAAGGGAGTGTAGATTAGTCGTCGGAAACCTAAAGGTCATGAGGCTAGCAGTGCACTTTCGTCTCTTGTGATGTTTCCATGGAGGGAAGGGAGAAAGGACTCAAGATGCTTTCATGGAAGAGAGAGAGACTTAAGTCAATACATGTAAGGATAGGGAGGGGGTTATTATATGTTTGTGTAAAAATGTCACTTGTGAATAGTTGGCTACTTAGCACATACATTCTATTATATGGTATATGCACCAAGTTTTCATTTTTTCCTTTATTTGGATAGGAAGTGTAAGATAGACAACCCATTTTTGATAGCTTAAGCATTTTAGCATATATCTAGTAGGTGTAAAAATGGAATATATATATATATATATATATATATATCTTGTATAGGGAAATAGAAATCGAGAGGATTCCAAGTGTTCTCACACAATTTGGCACAAAAATGGAATTTTTCTCTTTGTTCCATTTTCGACATATAAACCAACCTTACTTCAACTAGTGGTGGGTTACAAAACCAATAATCCAAGTTTTATAAAACCGTGATGTGTGGCACCTAATTATGCTATCAAACTTCACTTTATACTACCAATGGATGTAAATGTGTAGATGAGCCAACAAAAATTCAAACATCCGATTGTAAGTAATCCACCATGTTCGAGTTAGATTTTTGCCACTATTCTTCTTTGTTTCCGCTCATCTCCAAACAATATCTCAAACATCCTCCATCTTTCAATCTTGCTCCAATGACTCCTTGATTTGCCGATGCATAATCAATCTCCGTATGTATGCAGCTCCACTAATGCAGAAATTAATTTTTGACAATTCATAAAACTCCATTCCAAGTATAGTGAATTGTTAATGTTGATCACAATTTAACATCATTTTTGCTATGCCCTCGGCCTATTTCCAACCACAAAAATCTCAAAATCAGTCAATAATAGATTGCTAGCTTAACAGAAATACTCCATCTTATGGATGGAAAATGGGGGGATGGTCGACAATGAGTTGGCTACCTTTTACTGATCTCTTTTTGGCTATTATTTTCTTGGACAAAGGGCCTAAAGCTATAGCTCTAAAATTTTCCAATCGGTTTGAAATGCAATCTTGTCAAATACTGCTTCAAAACATTGACTTCAATGACAAGATGGAAGTTAATGAATAAGATATATATATATATATATATATATATTTGTTAAAACTATAGTGCAAAGTTGAATTCCATTGCCTTGAAGTCATTTTGAGAAATAATTATAGACAAAGAATTTAAAAAGATTTTGTTTTGGATTTATATATTTTTATTACTTTTTTCCTTTTACACAATTGGACGAATAAGCACTCTTTCATATGGTCCAAAATTATGGGCTTTAAGTAAAATCACATTGGTGACACACACAACCTAAAGCTCTATATTTATTTTCTATTCATGGAACACAATGGAAGCAGGAATGTTTTTTGAAAGAGAGTGAGATTTTTGTTGTAGCCCAAGTACGATAGTGCAACTTAGATTTTGAGCTTTAAGTTGTGTGTATGGTCCTCACCACCCTTATTTATGATAGTATGTGGTTTCTTTGATTGTCTAGCTAATGGACTTGGCTTACTTGAGAGCTTTGCAATGTAATTGCTTTGTAATGTCTAGAGGTAGCAACCAGTAGCCAATCAAAATCTAGTGACATAATAAGAATCAATTTTAAGAGATTCAATAAATTTATAGTGAGAATTTGAGAGTTTTTTGAGATTTTGTCCATGTGCATGGGCCTCAGCTAGGCATTGGAATGCTATTCTAAGAAAGAAATTTTTAGATGCAAAGAATTTTTAAAGCAAAATTTCCAAGGCAAAAATGCAAAAAAGTTAGGCCAAAATCTAACCATAAGTGACATCATAACGGCATGTGGTTTGGACCCCATACGAAGACAAAAATAATGGAATCCATGAAAATTACTATGCCTTTGTAAGATTGGTGATACCTTATCATATTTGAGGTATATTTTTTATTATAAAAAATGTTAGGAATACATTTGCTATTATAAAAAATGTAGGAGTATTCTTAATATTTTAACATACTTGAGGAGGTATATATGTGATATTTTCCCATAAGATTTATTTATTCAGGAAGCTCTTGTGCCGTCGTGCAAGATTTTGACAGCTCTCAAATTCAGCCGCTGTGAATTTGTCGTGAGCTTTGAAGACTTTCTGCAAGGATGAAATTTACAAAAGCATTGTTGACATAGCACTGTGGAATTTTGATGGTCTTTTGGACGTTGGAATAATAGATTTTTTAGTAGTGGATTTGTCATTTCGGAAATGGTCTAGGGATGGCAGCCCAAGAACATGAGAAAAATCATTTGTAATCATCTGTTCACATTCACTGTTACAAGCCTTCCGAATATATGCGCTGTTCTTAACCCCACGAAATAAAAAGCAAGACAGCAAATGATACCAGCCGTCAGACATGAGCGGTATAAATCAGAGTTTCAGACAACTAAACTTATCTCATAGAGACATTTGAACCAATCACATTCAGTGGCATGAGTCGTCAACTATACTAATTTGCAAGACAAGCTCACTGCAGGTACTATAGCCCTGACGCATTCCACATTGGAGTCTCATTTGACGGACGAATCAGTTGCAGGTTTGAAACTGCGTGCAAGATTCTCGTACAAGTGCTCTCTCACAATATCGAGTGGCATTGTAATACATAGTTTCATTTACTTCAATTTGACAATGCTGATCCGGCATCCCAAAATAAATGAAAACCAAAAAGGACCATCTCAAAAAAGAACCCAACTATCTAGCACTTGGAAATTCAGTGACCTAGAAGGACTCGAATCAAAGACCAACCATAGTTGCTTCCCAGATCTTGCTTACTTCTGTCCACGCAATCTCTCTTAGTTGTCCTCAGATGCACATCCAAAGGGAAGACAACCAATGCCAATCTGCCGTGACGATGAAGTATAGGCTGCATTAGATATCATACTAATGAAAGGGCTTTCATCATGGGATGACTTGCCAAACCTTCTACTTCTTAGAGATTAGAAGAATTGATTGATGGCAAAATGCCCAAAGTCTTAAGAACGAATGCATACGTAAAAGCGAAATCCTTCAGCTTGTCAAACCTGGGCACAGGAAAGCAAAAGTGAATTGAATTAGTATCACGATAGGAATCGAAGATAAAGCACGCGCAACTTAATCAGAAAGTTCAATACAGTTTGCTATTGGTGGAAGAATTGCAGACACGATCACGAACCTTCCTGATTTGGAGAAATGGCCAGCACCCATATCACACTTCAGAAGAAGCAAATTAGAATCAGTCTTCATTTCTCGCAACTTGGCAACAAATTTTGAAGGTTCCCAGTAGGCAACGCGAGGATCTAGCCACAGTATCACACGCCAGTCACTTCAGAGTGTCCAAGTATTGCTATTCTAAATATTTTAGGAACTACTCAAAACGGTTAACATATGCATATCAATTCATCACGGCCAAATACACATCTGACAGTAAGAAAAGGCACAAAAGCGAAAACTTTCATTCACCTCAACCTCATTATGTAGTTTCATGAAATGGTAGTAACTGTTACGCACTTATTGTATCTCTACATCATATTAATATCACTTAGTCAAGAATTTAGAATTTTTCGCCGAGTAATTTACCGAAGGTAGATATCAGCGCACTCACCATGGAGACCCCCAGTAACGAGCACATTAGGGTAGTCACGGGCTTGAATCTGTGCAGTACCCAAGAGGTATGGACAAAAAGGAGTGAATATAAATCAGACGCTCAACATTTAAAATTACTGAAGAACTTTGAGTTCAGTCAAAGGAGACGAGAAAAAGTTACAAACTTTCACAACTACTTGCTTGACCTAACTCATTGAACATAAGTTGTATGGAAATTCATACATTATCCTGAGGTGAATAAGACTTCATGTAGTAATAGTATTCCTCTTTGGCAGGGTTACCCCATTCCTGCAGAAGAGTCAAAGCCAACAAACATTAAGACAAACTCAAGGTGCATCATCTCAACAGCATAGGATATATGTCAGTATCTTAAAACTCACATTGAAAACCCCGTGATGAATAAAGATATAACGTAAGACTTAATTCAACTCTATCCAAAAATAGATGAATATAGAGCTTGATCAGGAATTACAACATCATCTTCACACAAGTCAACATTTTTTTCTTGAAATCCCCGAAATGTTCCTTAGTTCCCTAGTCCACCCTGACTTCAACGACTTGCAACCGTTCGAAAATCTGGACATACCTCCCATTCCACCGTTGTGAGAGGAATGGATGGATCAAGCATGGTTGTCAGAACATCCACGAACGCCACTTCCGCAATAACAGTTGTGAATAAATCGGGTCTCATGGTTAGAACTGCACCCGCGAGGAGACCACCTGCACTTCTTCCTTGAACAGCAATCTTGTCCTTAGACCCATACTTATTCTCCAGTAGGTACTCCGCACAAGATATAAAATCTGTAAAAGTATTTTTCTTGCGCAGCAATTTTCCATCCTCGTACCACTTCCGCCCCAATTCACCTCCACCTCGAATATGGGCAACAGCAAATACGACTCCTCTATCTAGCAAAGATAATCTGTGGTAGTTAAATTCGGGATCATTTGGAATCTGAGAAACAAATCAAACGCATCAGCTCATCAAAAAGAACATATGTTCATGTCTTAGTTTGTACAATATTAAGAAACAGCACATTTCGCTCTTAGGAGCCAGTTTATCATGCAGGGTTGAAAACATGGAAGGAAGGCTACAGTTAACATACACAAAATCAGGTTTGGAAGAAGACTACCTCGTAGGAACCATAGCCAGAGAGAAACAATGGGTCTGTCCCATCCAGTTTTACAAGATCTTTTCTGTAGATTATTGAAATAGGAATGCGGGTGCCATCACTGGCCGTAGCCCAGGGCCTCACTGTTTCGTACTTATTTACGTCAAAGCCACCCAGAACCTATAAACCGCAAAAAGAAAAAAAAAAAAAAAAAAGAAGAAAATGTTACCAAGGTGATCTCAACATACAATATACAAATAATGAATAAATGTTGACAAAACCGAAAGGTACGCCAGCAATAGCCTGCAATAGCCGCAACTCACAAGAAACTTAATGATCCTTGGCACATTTAACTATTAAAATTCAACGTGACTTGATGCCAGGTTTTCAACTTAACGAAATCAACCCAAAGTCCGTGTGAATACTTGGAAATCTGATGTTTATATCCAAGAAGTAGAACTGACAGATTCATTGATAGTAATAAAAGTGCGAGTGTAAAGGGGGGAAGATCAATAGAATATACCGGCTTCAATTTCTTCAACACCGCCTTGCCAGAGTTCAAATCATAGTCATAAACAGATTGAGGAGTTCGCAAAGAGCTATAACCATAACGGAAGATATGAGAGTTAAACTGATACGATTCGTCTTCTAAAGAATATGTCGGCTCAGGAAACTTAATCTTCTGTCCCTCAGAGAGCGACTCTACTGATTTTCCAGCTGGAGGAAGTGCATAAATAGTGATTGCCTGAAGTCCATCTTCGCGAACATTGACAATAAGGTGGTCCCTAGAGGCCCGTACATTCTCCAGCTTCACGCTGCACCATAAAATCATTCAACGGGTTCTCAATATCCACCTGCACCAAATAATGGTGCACACAGACGAGAAAAGAGAAAGAAAAAGGAAAAGATAAAGAACTTTTCGTCATCCACAACACCTCTTCCATCAGTAGTTATTCTTCCAGCATAATCAAAGGAACTAAACCTCAAGCATTCCAATACAACGAAGTTAAACGTCAGTAAAGCTCCTCAGTTCAAACATCTAAAGTACATACCTGGGTCTATGGGAAAGCAGCACAGTAAAAGCAGAAATATTAGTAACAGGGGCAACAAGAAGCTCAGAATTAAAAATCTCTTCGCTTCTCCTTGTGAAATAAAAGTGGTTTCCACGATGAGTGACAGAGTAATCTTCTCCTTCAATGTGAGGCGACAGAGGTTTCATATCCCCATTAGGTTCATTGGAGCTCAAGTAGAGTACAAACTGAGTAACTTTTGTGCCGGAATACACAAAAATGTATTCCTCGCTCTCTGACTTGCGAAGATCAATATAGTGTTCCTCGTTTTTCTCATGATAAAGACATTCATCGTCAGACTGATTATTGTTCAATCTGTGCCGCCAAACCTGAAAGCTCACTAGAACAACGCATCATGTTAGCTCTATTAAAAATAGTAGACAACCCGCTATATGCTTTTTTTGAACATAGGAGGACAATTGGGAAGAATTGAAGCAACATAAACGCTTCAGTCATTATTGATAGTCCAGAGTAATCCCAAACTGATAGATTGTGTGCAAAAACAACTCGATGGAGCATGCATCTTTTCAGAACATACTACAGCAAATTCAGTGGCAAGCCACATTGCAGAGGTTTCCTGAAAGAACAGAATACTGTACCAAAACTCCAACGGCTAGATTAGAAAATTGGTACATGTGTACGAAAGAATATCCTTTCAAGGACTCATACATAAAACGCATTCAGCGAATAGCCAATCCCCAACTGGCAATTGACAAGGAGATAAGGTGTATTTGACCTTGTAAGGCCGGTGCACTTCGTCTTGAGATACGTAAAACAGTATTTCATTGTCCTCAGCCCACTCAATCTGTTCAGTGCTTCCCGTAATGAGATTTCCAACAGACTGGCCAGTTTCGATATCAATGACACGGATTGAGTACACTTCATCACCAGTAAAATCTTCCGTCACAGCTAATAGTTTGTGATTTGGACTGACCTGCCACAGAACAAAACAACTGAATATCATTGTAGAACACATTCCACATGGCAAAGTGAAAAACCTTAGACACAATTCCCTGTCCGTCACATATATAACTAACCATTACGGTACCCGGAGCATTACCTTGACTTCACCAACATGATAGAACTCGTGTTCCTTGGCTTCTTTGTTTTCATCCAACAGAACTTCTTCCTCCGATGCTCCATTACCAGTTTCCATCACTTCATCAACATGACCAGGACCTTCCCCTCCAGGTGCCGCCCGTCGACAATGCACAGTATACTGTTGACCTTCTAAGTTCTTCGTGTAGTAAAAGAATGGACCATTTCGTAAAGGAGCATTGACATCGTCCTCCTTTATTTTACTTCGAATCTCTTGAAACAGCGACTCTTGGAAATCCTTCGAGTCTGAAATACAAGACAAGAGTTGGAGTCCATTAAGGTCACGCAACGAATGTATCTAATATCCCCGAAGTTTGGAACCCTCAATCTCAGAGTCAAATAAATACCTCAATCAAAAACCTAGACTGTGTCCTCACTGATCTCTCTCCCATCAGCAAGAATTGCAAACATGCTTCAAAGGTGTTACCAGGGCGTGCGCTTTCAGAAACCATACAATATGACATCGAGGCAAATGATTGGTCTGAGAAGGACAAATTAAGTTGTAGACAGCAACCAGTCCACCAAAATAGCAAGAAACAAATATTTATTCATCCAATAAGATCCGCAATGTGGGCAGTCCTCAACAGACTAGCAAAAAACACAACGAACCGGGCTTATTGAAGATTGAACAGAAACTTGCATTGAAAGGTTTTACAGCGCACCAATGGGCGAGAAAATCAGATGATAAGCCGATAAAATGGAACGAAGAAATCCACTATGCACATTAAAGGAAACAATATGGAAATGCAAAGCATGGTTCACCTACACTTAAAATATAAACATATCTAGCAATTCTACATGGGCTGAGATATCGATGCTCAGTAACAGATGTTCAGAACCTTGCAACCTTGCGTTCTCAGATATCACAAATTGAAGGTAGACTCCTAGCATATGTAAACGAAGATGATAACGTCGCCAAAATAACAGATGTATCAGTGTACCGAGTGCCCAGAAATCTGCTTTTCAAAAAAAAACTAGAATCTTCCAAGAAGACATCCAAAAGAAGTAATCGGATATTACAGCTTGGGGCTATCACGAGACTCACCGGCCATAACCGCTTCTGTGTAGCTATTTTCCTCTTCCAGATATGCCAGCACGTCAGGGTTTTTCCTCTCATCATCGCGGATCCAGTAGTAATCGTCTATTCTCTTGTCTCCATGTGTCTCCAAGACATGACTAACCTTCCTCGCAACTGGAGGCTTAGGGATCACCCCCATAGCTGCCACAGGGGCTTCAACACCTTTGCTAACCCCTGCCACAACAAAAACATTTAAGAACATAAATCCTCCTCGTAGCATAAGTCGATTGCAAAAATAGCAATCCAAAAGTCAGCGATCCCAGTAGAAATTTCAATGCAGTGGTTAACCTACGTTACAGCGATATGAGAAGCATAAAAACAGACGCACGCAGCCACAAAAATGCATGTATCACCATTCACATGGATTAATCCAACATCACATCAACAGTCGTTACCCACAATCCCGATTTAGGAATAACGAAATTGCAAAATCTAACAGGAAAGACGCACTATCGCAAATACTCACAAACAATCAATTAATAAATATTCATCAATTTCAAGCACATCATCCCTTCACCACTAAAAGCCAGCCAACCCTTGCGAGCAAAATATCAATAAAACAAACAAAGAAAAACATTCTCCCCGAAATTTCTACATGCAACTCGTCCCAAGAGCACACCTAGATGCTATAAAAGACGATTACCTCTCGTAAGGAAGTAATCTCCAGGATAGACAGGTGACCGTCGCCGATTACCGTTCAAAACAGATCGGTGCTGAACCAAACGCGAAGCCTTGCGCGCCGGGAAAACGATATCAGACGTCAGAACAGCGCTAAGGCAACCAGACCACAAACGAATACAGGGAGAGCGGTGGAGGAGCGACTGAAGCGTCCGGCGAGCGATGAGAGGTCGTAAGCTCACATTAGAGCACGCCATGGAGATTCCTTGCCTTCAAATTCCTTGCTCCAAGCTAGGTTGGTGAGGAGAGAGACGCCGGGTCACCCCTCCATTCCCCGGGTCCCAACGCCGCCCGAGGTTTGATCCACCCACTTTCTGCCGACAACTTCACGTAACTAGGGATTTCGATAAATGGAGTCTTAGATACTGAAGGAAACTGATTGTCGCTTACATGCCACGTTGAATGGACCAATGTCGAATGAACCCTAAACATTCCGAATTTTCATTCCTACCGCACGTCAACTAATGATGCATTTCAGCATTTTATTTACGGGGTTGCTTCATCCTCCAAACAGTAAAGATCCTCAATTATTCTTTTGAGTGTAGAAGATGGTTGCACAAAAGCAGCAGAAAAACTTGCAAGGTAATGTCATTAAAAAACCGGGTGCGGCTGCAATCGAGACTTGTTTCCTTCTCGAGTAATAAACCTTTCCTTAACATTGTGCCCAAATTTAGTAGGAGTATAAGTGGACGTAAGAGAGAATGCATATTGGTATAAATCCAGTCGCAATGTACGACGCACCCAGCAGAAGGGACGATCTCGAACATGTCATTGTGAAAGAATAGAATTAAACCCACATTGACATTACACAATAAGTGCGCCAGCACTGGGTTGAAAACATTACACCAAGACTTGCATGTGCACTATGAATTGGTACTACTGTGCACGCCAATGCGTACATAAACTACTAAAGAATCTGAGCTCAAAGCTCGTAATTTCGACGTAGCCAACGGAATACGAAGTGGAATTGACAGCCGCTCAAGGTTTGTTGGTCTTCTTGTTGGGCTCGAACACGTACTTAATCAACGACTCCTTGATCGGCAGCATTTCAGGAAACTCCTTCGACAGCTTCGATGCGTCCAGCTCGTTGTTGCTCCGCGCCGCAACTATCACCTTCGCCTGCTCCTCCAGCGTGAAGTTCTTGTACGTGAAGCTCGGGTCCACGTACTCCTTGTACATCTCCAAAATCTCGTTGTGGCTCACCACGCCCGGGTTCGTGAAGTTCCAGATCCCCGTCAGGTTCCTCTTCGCCATCTCGATCGAGATCGGCAGCAGCTCGTCCAGGATCGTCATCGAGTTCGGAATGTCCACCACCTTCTCGTACCGCGTGATCTTCGTGATGAAGTTCCGCGGGTTCGACAGGTCGCCCGTGATCGGCATCCTCACGCGCAATGTGCACACGTTGTCGAACTCCCTCAACAGCTCCTCGACCTGCCCACACCACCACACAAACACCGAACTGCGTCACCACATGCCTCCATAACATACGCCCCCCATCACCTTCCCACTCTCCGCTCCCACACCACGCTCTCTCCCATCACTCCCCAACAACTCCCCCAGTGCTCCGCCCATCCCAACACCCACTCTATGCCCACGACCACCGACTGGACCACGCTCTAACCTTCGCCCTATCTCCTACAACAATCACCGCTACTACTGCCATACAAGCATCCTTCAGCACCCACCCACCCCTACATACACACAAACACACACACACACGCATCTATCCGTCACGCCACAGCGTCCTCACCATAGCCTTCGTCTTCGAGTAGTACGACCCCCGGAAGTTGGCCGACTCCTCCTCCTTGAACCCGATCCCGCTCCCCAGCGGATGCGCATCGTCGTACTCGAAAATGCACCCCGTCGCATAGTTCACCAGCACCAGATCATTCTGCTTGCACACGTCCGCCAGAGTCAGAGTCCCCACCACATTCGCCCGAATCGTCTCAATCTTGTGGCTCTCGCACCAATCCACATTGGGCCGTCCCGTCACTCCCGCCGCATTGAACACGTGCGTCGGCTTCACTGTGCTGATGTCCTGCTCAATCGAGCTCCTGTTCTCTAACCTCCCCTTCCCATACTCGTACGCGATTCCTTGCTCCGTGCACAGCTTCCCCAGCAGGCCTCCGATCCATCCGGTCTTCCCGTAGATCAAAAACTTCAATCCCGCAGACTGCCCTCCATTCACAGTGGCCACCATCTTCCCAGTTCCGCTTGCAAGCTGCGAGTCTTCTTTACAAAGTCCACCTGAAAAATAAGCTAGACTGTCGGTATGCAATCTTAAGTAGTGAAACAATTCCACACCTTTGCAAGGACATTTTCAATGCGTACTCTTCAAAAATGTACTAAGCAACTAAACATAGTGTAAGAAGACATGGAGGCGAACACATGAAGAGGAGAAGAAGAATTTTACAGCGCCGAATTGCAGAACTAAAAACATAGCAAAGTACCCTAACACCTAACACGACCAGCTAAAATTCCTGTCTAACCACAGATCTACATCGTTAACCAAATCTTGGTTCGCCCAGCGCAGATCAAACAAACCGGCGGTGTGGCAATCACCCTTTAGCTAAAAATCTCAAATCAATAGTTACAGATCCGTTCACATGGAACAATACACCATTCACATTGACAGTCTCCCCAACTTAATCACTCGATCGCTAGAAACGATTGTCAAAAACAAACAACAGTCATTACCCAGAACTGAGCACAAATAGGACGAGACACACACACCTGGCCAAGCTCTTCTGGGCCTCTACCGCTTCAACCAACCGAATCCCAAAGACTGATACCGAAATACAAGAATGTGGAAGCCCAATGCCACGAGCTTCAGGGATCAGGGTGCGAGGGGGTGAGGGGCGGGGAAGAGCGGTGCCGGCGATGGAGAACCTGCGAGCTGCTGATAGCCTTGACGCACTAGCTCCTTTATTGGCAGTTTGGGCCGTCGCACCGCGGTACATGGCACTGACCGCCGGATGCACGCGGAAACGGAGATATTCTGGTACGGTTACTGTATGGATGGATACTGAGCGACCTTCGGTAGGCGGTAGGCTGGTTCTGGTGCCAATCTCGCAGGTCTGCAAAGGCAAATGCGGTTTTGGCTTTCCACCATGTTCGATCCCGTTGTTGATTCCCTCGTCCTCCAGAGCTCCCATCCACGTTCCCATTGCTCCGCCTGATCGATTTGAAACCTTCCTCCGAGCATGCAACAATTTTCCGTGTTGCAAGAGTCTGGTTACAAGCTTTCATACAACCTACTTTGAATTTCATACAACCTTATTTTTTCTCTTTCTACATTTTTAATTTTTTAAGTTTTTTTTACGTTTTTTACGTTATTTATTTATTTATTTATTTATTTATTCTTATCTTGAATTAATCAATAGTTTAATGCCTATAGGAATCCATCAAACTACATAAAAATACAAAATAATAAAATAAATTATATTAATAACAATACATGATAGCTATGATTCTTTTAGGCTTATGCTACAAGCACACTCCAAATCGCTTTATACCCATTATTTCTATACACAAATCCAAGGACTTTCATTGACTAATCTAAATTCTTTTTTCTTTGTCCTAGTACAAGTTTTGAACCTTTTCTCTCTCTTTCTTGTTCCTATGTAAGATCCAACCCCTTCTTCCTTGTCTTTCTTGTCCCAATGTGAAATCCAACCCTCTCTTTCATTTCTTCATTGTCCCAATACAACATCTAATTTCTTCTTCTTTCTCTTCTTTGTCTTAAAGTAAGACCTAATTCCATCCCAAAATTCCATATATTATTCAAAATCTCCAATAAAAGCTCCTATCTTGTTTGTAAATAAATAAATAAATAAATGCTATAATTGTGTGTAGAAAATCCAAGACTCAATAAGATCACTATCAATAATCAATATTCTCTATCTTTAATATTGAAACTTCTTAATCAATTAAATAAAACAAAGATCTATATAAAAATAGATCTATGAATATCACACAATGTAATGTATATTAAAGAACAAGATAGATAAAAGACTATGATTTAAACCAGATATGTGCATTTTGAATACAATGTCATGACATTTAAATTCATAAATGCATTAATTATTTTTTAATATTTTATAAATATTATTTTTAAAGATTTTTTAGATGATTTTTTAATTTTTTATCTAAAAAATATTTTAATCTCTTCTAAAAATATAAAAAGATATAATATTTACCTATTTATACATATAACATGTATTTCTCTGATTTTCTATCGTAGAAGGTGACAAAGTCAATATGATAGACTCAAAAGAAATCAAATTAGATTCTATTTTAAATGCTCTTGATGCATTGAGGATTAGGACAGAGACTTTGTCAAAACAGAATGAAGAATTATATATGACCATACATAATGGTCAAAGAGCTCAAATGTCTCAACTACCACATCAAATTGCAACAGAGGTTCCAAATTCTCAAATGACTATATGTCATGGATATACGCATGTAAGCTAGTAATTACATGTATAAATAGGTAGAAGTAAGTAAAAGTAGGTAAAAATAAATTAATTCTATAATATTTGCTATCAAAGCTTTTTAGAAGCTATATGGATGTTGCTTTGACTTTATAGGTGTCTTTAATTGACTTTTTGGATTAGAAATGTGGTCAACAAGTTGGCAATGTGCCACACATGTTATTAGCTTGAAGACCAAGCTAACTATGTGGCCTACATATAGAAAAACTTGCCTTGTAAGTCAATGCATGTGTCTTATAAAGTCAACACTTATTTGAGGTCCTATAGAACATCGCCACATAGTCCCTAGTTAGATAGTATATATAGAGACAAGAATGAAGCCCTCTTCTTTCTTGTCAATTCCTTTCTTGCTTCTAGTTTAGTTTCAAGGATCTCTAGTTTTCTTGTCTTTTGGCAATAGCCATTCCAATTTTTTTCTTAATATACATATTGAATTATTTCTATTTTGTCATCTTTCTTTGAGAGAAGTCTCACTTGTTTATTTGTCTTTATCAAGTTCTTGTCCTTGACACTATATCTACTTCAAATATAGAAGGTGCATCCACTCAAGGCAATGATCTGACAACAATAAAAACAAAAGAACCAAAGATCAGCCTTCTGAAAAAGTTCAATGGCACCTGCTTAAACTTTTGTAGCTTTGTAAACCAAGTATGACTGATTACCTTACTTCAATCTCAACCATATTGCACTAAAGCATCTCTTATTGGCTTGGTTAGAACCTTGCTCTTGAGTAAAGCTTTATCCTAGTTTGCTCTATTATTTGAAAAGAATTCTCCTATATTATACAATTTTGAAGCATTTTTGGGAGTATTTAGAGAAGCATTTGGTGAACATGATAAGGTTCATTCTTCAATAACTAAAATTCAAAGCCTTCGACAATGAATGTGTTCTACATCAACATATGCCTCAAATTTTTGATAATTAGCATGTGATATAAATTAGAAAGAAGACACATTGATGAGCCAATTTCATTGGAGATAAAGAGGCAATGTCAAGAACTTATTGTTGTCTATGCCAAATCCTCTAACACTCAATGAAGCCATTATTCAAGCTGTGAATTGCGATAACCATTTATTTCAATGATGATAAGATAAATGTTCTTCAATTATGCCAAATATATATACCAATTATTCTATAGCTTCTTCACCACCCACTCATAATGAGAAGTTGAGAGTATAAGATATATAGATTGATGCAGTTTACTTCAAACCTCTTTTTGGACAAGAAAAAAAGCGTCAAAGGGAACTTGGCATATGCTTATATTACAAAAAACCTGGCCATAAGATCAAAAATTGTTTAGAAAGATACTAGCATACATATTCAATGAGGAGTGCGGCCACATCATCAAAAGCGTTGCAAGAAAACGAGTGCATTTAGCCATAGTAGAGACCATGCGGCTGGATTCTTCACTATCACAAATCAAAAAAGATCATGTATTCTCTGCCAACCCTTCTCATTGTTTTACTGTATATATATGGTTTGGAGTCACAAAGTTAGATTGTCATGCATTACTTGACTTGGGAGCCTCTACATGTTTAATTGACAAAGAATTTTCTAAATCATACAAAATCTGTTTGGTTAAAAAATCCAAAGCCGTACATGTAGAAGTAATAGATTGTCAACCTCTATCATATAGAGATGTCATTCATGAAACAATTCCATTAGAAATAACCTTTGACAATCAAAGCAATAAAGTATTAGAGAGCATATATAAGACAATGATTTAAAATCAAGGAAGGAACTTAACTCAATTAATAATACTAGAGCACCAACTGGCGACTTGGAATGTTGAATAAAATTCTTAGCTAGATTTTCTTCGATGTACTCTTTTAAAGTTGCAAACTCATTTAAGAATAAATTTTAGATGGATTCAAATGGTGGTTGAGCACCTTATTGAAGGTCAATCATACAATCGTAGAGGTGATGCTTTGACAAGATGTCCACATTTTTCTTTTTCAAATACATTTGTAAAATCCTTTTATGCCTTTGGAATTGTTGTTATAGGTTTTGATTATGGATTTGCATAGACAACAAACGTAGTACCTTGTTTGGCCATCCTTACAAATGCTCTAGCTCTAATAAATAAATATTATTTAAATTTTGGCTTGTTGGGTATTAAAAACTTTTTTATAGATGTAGAGGTTCTATGATCTACTAGAAGAAATTCTAAGTTTCGAGATATCCAATTTATTTGTGAATTATAATTTTCAAGCCATGAAAGTTCTAAAATGACTAAACTTTGATGGTGATCTAATGACGTTGAAGACTACTTGATTGCTATGGTTATGAAAGGTTTTTCTAATGGAATTGCTTCATAAGTAACATCTTTGGAGCATTAAGATCGACCATTTATTACTTCTATATGTATGGCTTTGGATTTTTTGACTGTACAAATTTTGTGTGATCTAAACAATTCTTTGTCAATAAAACATGCAGAGACTCTCGAGTCTAGTAATGCATGACAATCTAATTTTGTGATTCCAAACCATACAAGTATGATAAAACAATGAAAAAAGTAGATAGAGAATACATAACATTTTTTAGTTTTTGATAGTGAACAATCCTGCCTCACGGTCTTTACTATAGCTACACGCCCTCCCTTTCTTGCAACGCTTTTGATGATATGGCCGCACTCTTCATTCGATATGCACGCTTGCATTTCTCTAAACAATTATTAACCTTATCGCTAGGTTTTTTGTAATATAAGCATAGGCTAAGTTTCATTGAACACTTTTTTTCTTACTAAAAATGAAATTTGGAGCGAACTGCATCATTTTGCATATCTTTTGCTTCCAACTTCTTATTGGAAATGAATGGTGAAGAAAGTGCAAAATAATTGGAATATTCATGTGCTATGATTAAAGAACGTTTATCTTATTATCATTGAAATAAATCTTCTAAGAACATACAAGTACCCTCTCAAACCTTCTAGAAACTTCTAGAAGTTTCTAAAATCTTCTTCAATAGTATCTTTGTGACACCAAGAAGTATTCAACGTCATTAGATCACCATCAAGTTGAGTCATTTTAGGACTTTCATAGCTTGAAAATTATAATTCATGGATAGATTGGGTATTACAAAAATAAGAATTTCTTCTAGTAGATTATAGAACCTCTAGATCTACAAAAAAGCTTCTAACACCCAACAAGCCAAAATCTAAACAACATTTATTTATTGGAGCTAAAGCATTTGTGATGGCAGTCAAACAAGGTATTACATTTGTTGTCTATACAAATCCACAATCAGAACCTGTGGTTGCTACAACAACAATTCCAAAGGTGTATAAGGATTTTACAGATGTATTTGAAAAGAAAAATGTGGACATCTTGTTAAAGCATTGCCTTTATGATTGTACGATTGTACGATTGACCTTCAAGAAGGTGCTCAACCACTATTTGGATCCATCTAAAA